AATAAGTTTATCAGCTGAAGAAAAATTGTTCTAATCCCAAATAAATTTCTATTAACATGAATATGAAATGTATAATCATGTCACCATATGAAAATTATTACATAACGTTGATACTTCAAAACAAAAACATACTTTTAAAAAAAATAATATTGTTCTGATTATATTTACGAATCTAGTGAATTATTTATTAAAAATATGTAAACTAACTTGATCTTACAGACAGTTTTGTTTAATGTATATTGTGAATCAATCAATTAGAAAGACACATTACCAATTGAATTATATATAGATTTCTTTATTCAAACATCTTACCATGAATATGAACTTTCGTCTTAATTCGATCGAATAGTTTTATAGTATTTGAGCGCTGAGTTATTGTGAGACATTAAAGAGGAAGAATGTATGTGTAAAATCTCAGCGAAAGAATTTGAAGTAAATCCAACGTTTTCGACTGGCAATCTGGTCTAAGCTTTTTTCAAGGAAATTGTGGTTTTTGAATGAACTAATGATTCCATTGTACTTGTTGAGTGCTTGATTTCGAATTCTAAATACAGTACATTCGTTTGTGCGTATCTAGTACTTCTTGATTCGATTACGTTATTTCTGGTATTCTTAGTTCATACTATAATTCAAATACTCCTAATCATCATAGAAATATAATCAAATATCAAAATTACTGAATATAAATAGTTACATGGTTCTCCAGTTTACTGTATACTGTATACACAATAATGCAAGTACCTATTTTAAACATTGTTAACGTTGATTGGACAACCTATTCAGTACACAGTAAACTAGAGAACCATGTACCTATTTATATTCGATAACTTTGATTATATTTCCTTGAAAAAGCTTAGACCAGATTGTCAGGCGAAACGTTGGATTTACTTCAAATTCATTCTCTGAAATTTTACAAATACATTCTTCCTCTTTAATATCTTACTATGAATTATGTATGTTTTTTGTGGAGGTTATTCATATCATATCGTTCGCTATTGCTTAGTTCCTTTTCTAAACGACTATACACTAATCATATTGATTTAGGTTTCAGAAATCGACAAATCACTAAAGATTCAGTTCTACTAATTTTGAATATAGTTTTGTATGAACAGTGGTTTGACAGTAATACAGGAAATATTTGATTATCTGTAGATAAAATAAAATTAGAGACATACTTTTCTCAATAAGCTATGAACAGTAGCTTAATTAAAACAATTGTATATTTCTGAAAATCAGTTGATGTAACAGTTATTTTCTTCAGTAATTATCTTTGTGCACTTTTATTGTGAAACTTAGATTTCCTACGGCATTTCGATGGTTTCTGACCTATTTGTTTGTCAGTCAGTGAAATATAACGTAGAAATTGGGACATATGTGCATCAATTCAATTTGCCATACGTCATTAGCAAAGTGAGATGAAATTTTCAGAGTTAATCTCAGAACAGTATAGGTATTAATAACACAAATTTGACCAAAGCAGAATAAGGTGAATCCATTTATGACGTGGATTCTTGTCAGCTACTTACAACCCAACAACAATAATGTAAATTACTTATAACTAACGTACATACCTTGTGTTATATTTTAAAAAATTAGTAGAATAACAACATTAGTTATGGTATAATTCTATAGAGTTAAAGTGGATGAATATTTACATGTTACTACATGTGAAAAATCCAGGAGAGGAATTTTCAAACACATTTGTCAAGAATAAAATTCAATATCAAAGTTATGTAATAACGACAATAAAGTTGAATAAACTGACAGAGTAAGATGAGTAAACCTCGAAAAAGAATGTCATTTAGGATATGAAATGAGATATTACGTCAACAATAGCAAACACTCACATTCAGTTGCCGGTTATGTGAATATTTTACTCACAGATAATTGATGGTTAGTGATCACATAAATCAATTGATTTTCTTAAAACTGTCAAAAAAGACAGAAAATTCACGAATATCTGAAGTGATTTATTTGATGGTTTAAGAAATAACACTATATACAGATAGGCCATACTCTAAATGCATAATATTCATTTTTGTACTGCTTAGTATTTTATACACAAGCACTACACTTTACTCGGCATAAAAAGACTACATTTTCTGACGATATCTATCCATTCAGAAGTTGTTAATAATTTGATTTTACATATACTCGTCGACCAATCATTTAACATCACTTCAGAAGATTGACTACAGAGACACATAGAATTTCTCAATTGTAACATAAATCTCAACAATTCTCAGTAGTTCTATTCAGTTTCTACAGATAATAAACCGACAAAAGTGATTAACCTCTAATTCATATAAGAATCAGAAAATACTGGCCTAATTGGATGTCTAACATTTAGCAATAGGACTGAAAATGAAGTATAGCTTACTGAAAACACTAGATTTAAAATATTGACAATAAAAGTTTTGTGAGGCAAAGTATAAAATCAGTATTATTACCTGTTTTTATCATCCATTTATTTGAATACTCTCAAGCTCATTTTATGACAATCTGAATCTAAGATCTATATCTGGTATGATTTCAAATCTCTACCTGATCGTCTAACTATTAATAACATACCGAATCCATAACCTGTGATATGTTAACCCTGAAATTTGACATTATACAAATTATTCGAAACCTGAATCTTGAATCTCCTAGGTACTTATCTTCCAACTATTTAGATATTAAAAAACATTTTCTACCACTTTCCGATTTGTTGTAACAGACCAATAATCTGTAATATCCCTATTATTTACTTATGATCGTTTATATGGTTACGCGCTTGGCTCTAATCTCAATATGCAATATATTCGAGCTAGTTCACTTAGTTCTGTCTTCAGTTTTGGTCCAGTCCTGACCAATAGATTAGGTACTGAGTAACTCTGTGAATTACTAGTTAGCGTATTACGTTATATACTAACAGCACTTCAAAACATGTGTTCAATAAACCAATAATATATGCATTTTCCAATTTAAGACTATTATATTTTCATTAAACAAACGATGAGTTAGTTATTTTATCAGTGTTAAACTTCGTTTAATGAACAAGAACGAAATATAGGGATTTTGAATGCATGGCCTAACGAAAACCCAACCAACAGTGTTAACGAACTATTAAAGGTTACATCTCTTCTTGTTCCATTTCGTTTAAACTTACAGCTTTTATAGCAATTAGAAATATCTTCTACAGTGCATTGTGAGTAATGTGATAAACGTCTCTACTGTCTCATGATAATTGCATTAAAATTAGAAAGTTAACAGTTATTACTGTAGAATAATTTACTCACAATAATAGGGCAATAATTCGTATTCAAAGTAACACCCATGGTTTCAAAATCCTAATCAAATTTTACCAACCACTTTGTCTTACCATTACTAGACCGAGAGACTTGAAAGTTATTAATGGTTGGCACACATCAGTAAGGTGTATCTGAAATATTAAAGAAGCTGATGCTCCTCGTCAATTCGAATAGACGCCACAGTGACACGAATAACTCAATGGTATCAGGAATAGAACACCATCGAATATTTTACAATGAGTAGAGGACTGCCAGATATCTGGATTGATATTCTTATTGCATGTTAAGTGTGCTGTAAATACTATAAATTACTGACACCATATGTAAGCTCCGTTCACTAACATAATGTCCAACTTCTAATGTACTTTGTTCTACAATGTAAAATAAATTTACGACAGTCATTTGTTTATATTTTTTCTACACTGAATGACGCAGTTAACCGTATGGACTTTGTCCAAAATAGAAGTACATTGGCAGTACAACAAGTTTAACTTGGAATTACAAAATCTATAACCCATTGAAATATCTTCATTTGTGCAGGATTCCTGGTATATGTATTGAATTATAGTGAACGATTAGTCCCAATGCCAAAATGAGATAATAAAATCCACCGCTTGAGATATACATTATGAGGATAGCCTGACAGAAAACAATAAGCTGGTTTCATCAAAACTTGCATTCTTCGGTACTGCCGCAATTTATTACATATCTAGCTACCAAGGCTAAGTAAAACTCACTGCCGCAATATAGATGGGAAATAACTATACTGACAAACGAATATCTGGATGGATAAACAATGGTACTCACATTCCTAATAAACTTGACAAATAAATGATGAGAGCAAACTAAATAGGATTATTAGCAGTAGTGATGAGAGTAACACTAAGTAAAGAGAACATTGTTGTTTTCCAATAGATTTGTTCTTTAAATTCATATCAGAAAAATACTTTCTAGGGAAAATTACACAAGGCAATAAATTACTTTCCAGTAGTTACATAAGTGACGTTTATCCATGGTTGACTGAAATGACCCATTGTAGAGCAGATCCAGTCACTCATCTCCATCTCCACAAAGTTAACGGTCAATGATTCATTAGTATTAGCTTACCATTGATAATCACATTTTTTCCCTAAATAATACTATTCATATGTCCGACATGATCTGAATTTTCTTTTATGAGACAAAATCAATGAAACCTTGCAAAGAACACTTAAGAAACAAGACAGTATTTTGAAGGCCGTTTAGTGTGAAAACCAAGTGTCGTACATATGCACACTATTAATAAGGTAACTTATATGAATTTCATGAAACTGCATTTTATGAGTTCCGCGATAACGATTAGTGAAGAAATATGAGAATATCACAAGACAACGTAACCACCTCCGATTACAAAAAATTAGGTTTCACATCTAGTATAATCCTTTCATACCGCTAACCTGTACCTAGGACATGCAGTTTTAGTGCGCTGATCGATGATTTTTGAAAACAAAACATCAGAAGAATACACCTAGAGAGAACTAACAGATCTTATTGTTCTGACTATCAAGTGTTGGTGGTGATCCCAAGTTGAAGGATATTTCTCAACTTTGTAGGAAGAGATTGGCTTCAGGTTCATAAAAATATAACGCGTATAAGTGAATAAACAATATTATCAATTACTTGAACTGCAGCATTTAGGATAAGAGACTTTCATTTAGATTCAATCTGGTCTGTTAATTTACTCTAACATGAAGTACATGAGAAGAAACTAAAAGAAACAGATACTTCAGAAAGTAATGTTAACTTACTATTTTAAAGAGTAAGAGAGAAAAGATAGGTAGCCATTTACTGCATCATTAGCTTGTATATTCCTAACGAACATTAATCAAACAATCTTCCTATCATATTATTATGCAATTCTGCTTGTAAGCTATCTTTAGACTTATTAATCGTTGCGACATACTTTATCCATCATAAATTACAATCAGTTACCTAGTTAACGATCAGCCTCATGGTTATCCATATGTTGAGAACTACCACTTTTAATGTGTTGTGAGTATATTTACTTGTATAATCACTTGCGTTGAGTTTAAAACAACAAAAGATGCTTGTGAAGATTCATCTAAGATTCTGGATGAAGATGTACGAGCATTGTATGACTTGTGTGACGAACATAACGAAGTTAGTGGGATGTATGAAAGAAGACAAAAAAATACTAATCAGGAAACTTCTCGTAAACTGTTATTTTTGAAAATAAGCTGAATGAAAAGCAGTAAGTAAATACTACTTTCATAAAATTAAATTGTCATGTACTTTGATACAACTTTAATTAACTGAAACAATCTAATAGTATTAAACGCATATTTATAGAAATTCACACTATTGAATATGTATATACAATTATGAAAATAATGCCATTGCATTATGAAATAGGAAACATTAAAACAAAATCTAACGTCAAAAGCAAAATTATGTACACTTAAGATGTAGCGGTAGGTAATTGCTGAGCTTTTTTTAAGGAAAATCCTACAGATTCAGTGGAAAAGTTTTTTACCTATTACAATATTACATTTTCGAATCAGTGAGACCGGAAGACATTTCAAATAGTTTCTCTTGGGAAAAAAAAGAATCTCGAGAGACGAACATAGCAGCTACTATTTTATATATTCGTTATTAGTTTCGATGTCTTATTATCCAACTCGTTGAGTGAAACACCATGATCCACATACTCCAGCTTGATATCAGTTCTTTCTGGAATTACACTAGCCTCAAACTGATCAGATGGCTTACTCGGTGGGTTAACGGATAAGGAATGAATTCGTTTACATCTACGCTTATCAGTTCTAGAGTTGCTGACATATCTATATGAACCATGAAGTCCTCGTTTTCGCATCCACATAGGAGTGATTGAAGCCAGTGTTTTCTCATGACAATGATTAGATGCATCAGGTATACATACATCAGACTGTTTGTGTGATTCGTCATTTGGTGATTTGGATTTCCTTGAAAATTGGATTGATGAGATTTGTTTCGAATTATTTTCAGAAGATTTGCGATTCCGGCAAAAATATTTTAATAGTCCATTACTGAACCGTATATTCCTATTAGTTGAATTCGATTCTTGGGAAAGATTTAGTACACCGGGGCCATCCACTTCAACATGAACTAAGTATTCTAAGCGGATAAGATATTCTTCATACAGTTCACAATCATTATGACCAGCTCCACGAATAAACAGTGGTTCCAAAGTATTAGGAATACGTTCGTACAACTGCTGGGCATGGACTCGATCGATTATTTCATCTTCAGTGCCATGAATAATCAATGTTGGTGAAATGATCCGAGGAGCACGTACATAGCTAATCATCAAATAAATTCAAGGATATGATCAATATTTAGTTTTACTTATTTTTAAATATAACGTACGAAATAACAGTAGTTGAGAAAAAGGAGAGTCGTCTGGTGGATGACATAAGTCAAGATGAAATTAAATAAAACCAAGTACTTCCAGTGAATTATCATTAAATGAACATTACCTAACACTATGGTCAAAATAAAATACACATCACACAATAGTGATGAGCAAATTGAAGCTTACTTTTTAAAAAATGAATACCACCATGGTAGTATTGTAGCTATTCGAATAATACATAACATAACCGTAATGTCAATACTTGTTCGTTAAAAAGCTGAATAATTGAACTCTTTCAAGTCACTGACTTATCGTAAGTTTACCTCGAATACATGAAGTCAATTTCTTATGAGAATAGTTCCATATGTTATTATAATACGTCTTAAGAACGGAACAAGGAATCATGCAAAAACGATAGTGTTATATATAAAATAGTGAAATAACAAGAACAACGTGAGCTTACAGATATATTTTGTTAAATAAAATCAGTAATTTATAAGCAATACTTATAGAAGCATTGAGATATTCTTTAAAATTGGGCATATGACAATTATTATTCGTTAAATCGAAGTGATAACATTGAGAATACATCAATTTTCTTTTACCTATTGTTAGCAATTCTGAATAAATTAAATAATTGATTATATACATAAAAAATATTCACATTAGTTGTTTTGTCCATTTAACGATTGTGAAAGATATAAAAACTTTTTAATTTGAAATAAAGTATATGAAATGTTTTTTTAAAAAAAATTTGATACATGGCAATTTTACAAACTCATAATATAAGTAACCTAAAGATGATAAAGAGAATTCAGTAGAACATAAACAAGAAGAATACATCAGCATACTACATGGAAAGTAATAATAATAAATACATTCAAACCATGTGTTACAAATTACCGGTATTATGACTTAGGAAACAAAACGAAAGCACAAATGCGATGCCACTTCAGTAAATTCACAAAAACGGAACCCAACAGAAACGAATAACAGTTAAATACATTGAAATATAGTGATCGATCCTACGTAAGTGTCACAGAGTTAGAAAATTTTGAGGTTATTGTGGATCTACATTCATGTGAATCTTTTGCAGAACACTGTTCAGAAATATCAGATGTTGATGTGGATTCAAATTTATCCACCATATTTTTCAGAAGTTTTTTGTTAAGAATTTGTGTTATTTTTTCAGAGGAAAATTCGCGTGGTAAAGTCCATACCTTTTTTGGCATTTGTGAATGACCTTGATCAATCTCAGTTTCCAAAAACTTTGATGTCAACTTCCGAGGCAAGGTATTTATTTTTCCGTTCTTCTGAGTATGTAAAGACCATAATAATTTAGATGATTGGAAAAAATCTGAATCACCATTTGTAGGTGGTGGAGGAGGTGGAGGAAGAGTAAGGTCACAAATGTCAGATGGAAGCGAATGCAAATCATCAAGTGAAATGCTAGACAGACAATCAGGTGTAACTACCGAAAACTGGGAAACTACAGCTTCATTCTGGTCCATGCATTTTTCCACAGCAATCTGGCTTCCTTTTTGCACATCAGAGTCGTTGAGGCGTCTACTAACACCAATCAGGCAGGCGCTAGTATCATCAACGGACTTAAAGCATTTTTGAGATAATGATGGTGTTGGACTGGTTCGTTGAGGAGGATGAACGATCTCATCAGGTGGTATCTGTTCGCAGACGTTACTTACACTGAGCCTGCTAGATATTGAGTCTGAGGTTACATTCCAAGACGGCTGGGGGAAAAAAACCTTTGTTGATTTGTCTTCCTCTCCTCCTACTGTGTTGCCATTCATACTAAAATACCCATGAGAATTTAACGAAACCGGTACAGAGTTAGAACTAGATAAATCTGCCTGACTATCCTCTTTAACTGTTCCTTTTTCCAGTAGTTTAGACGACTCTACTTCCATATCTTCCACTTCAGTAACATTTTGTGAATTAGGATTCGACAGTAATCGAGGTAATTCCACAGTAACCAACTTAGTTAAGCGCAAAAGATACTGAGGGAAAAGTTCGCAGTCATTATGTCCGGCTCCATCAATGAAAAGAGGATCCAACAATAGATGACCTGCTACAGCAGAGCATATACGGTAACCATGAGTAACGTTCACAACCTCATCACGCGTCCCATGAATTACTAGTGTAGGTGAGATAATTTTCGGTGTGCGTGCAAGACTGAGTCCACGCAGAAGGCAGCAATCATGTTTAATAAACGAAGAAAATGTCAAGACAAAAAACAAACTGAGATTCTCTAATAATAAAGATTGAAATGTGATAAACTAATATAACAGTTTACTGACCCCCAGTAAACGAAGGGAAAATTATTCCAAATTAGCGACATAAAAATATTGTAAATATCACGATTATTAATGAGCTGATTTTGACTTCCTACAGACAATTTATTCCCCCCCCCAATAAACTGTAGTAGATTGTCATTACGCCCACAACAAACACAAAGTTATTTTTATTTGATTCAGCCACATTAGAACTGACCAAAGACTCAAGAAGGTTCCTGGGGAACCAAAGAACTGAGATAGCTTTTAGGTTATCAAAGCTGACAACATGCACGGGGACCACTCAATATACAGAGATGGTGACCCAAGGACATACTTGGTCACAGTAGCACCTACCGTACAGATTTCATGATCAGATTAGTGACTTCATTTGAAAACGCAGTCATAGTTTATGAAACAACGGGAAGCATGTTGAACTTTACAAATGAAATTAAACACCTGGAAAGGTATATGTGCAGTTATATCTGCCTTGGTTTGTTTATTACAACTTTTAATTTTCGTCCCCTTTCCATATGCTTTTCAAAAATATGTAGTAATCTGAATTAATTAATACTCATAACTGACTGGGTAAGACAATTTTGTTTTCCAGAAAATGGCAGGTACTGGTTGGTTGCTGAGCTCAATATATTAGACCACCTACGGTCAGTCATTAAATGTTGACAAAGATGTTCTGGCGCCTACACAATCTAAGATGACCGTCTACTGGCAACAAACACGGTTAACTTAACAAGGTAAGAATTTTAACAAGAAGCATCATACCACAAGTTTCTCATAACATACGTTGGTGGTTTGAACCTCTTAATACCTCTTACTTTACAGCTATAGGGATAAACGAACTGAATGAGTCTGAAACATAAAAAACGAAGTGTGGCTGACCTTGAACGGTACCAACTGAAATACTTAACTATTCTACACACTGATAGTTTGGTGGCCTAAACCATTTTACACGATCCAGACCAATAGTTAGTGACTGGCAGTCTATTTCACTGACCATTCCTGGTTGTCTTTAAGCCGCTTCACACCATACAGTACTGTATATCAAGAAATTTATCGGCCAAAAAAGTGTAGCACATGACCTAACTAATATAGTAAACTAGGAATAACAACTTCAACCAGTTCGACTTAATTACCCAATACTCTACATCAAAAACACCAACAGCCATTATTGAAAGACTACATAAGATACTCCTGCCTTTCGAGAGGAAAACAGACAAGGAAACAACAGGTTAGAAAATACGATAACTTCAAGACGAACTAAAACTTACTTAGAGAAGACATCACAACAGTAATTGCGTTTCAGCCTCGGGAAAGCTACCCTTAACCCGGACATCAGTGGCGAATGTAGTACGACAGCAGCAACTCGATGGAGAGTAGCCAAATGTATTGTTGGTACAGTTCCAATGCTCTGACCGTACAAAACAATTTGGTTTAAAGGGATAGAATACTTCGTTCTTAAAACATTTAGTGCACACTCAGCATCAGCATAAAGGTTTTTTTCCAAAGGCTTTCCAGAAGACACTCCATAGCCTGAATAATCGTAACACATGATGTTAACGTTCAACTTGCTCCCCAGTTCATACATGAAGTGAAGCATCAGACCCAAGTCCACAGCATTCCCATGGCTTAACAAGAAAGTTAGCTTAGATGACGAATTGATGGGCATATAAAGAATCGCAATATTATTGCCTCTTTTTGTTGTAGCCTTCACTGATTCCATGTTTTCTGGGACAAAATGGATAAATGAATCCTTCAAGTATGAAGCCAGAGTAAAGCTGTATGTAGTATGCCCTCCTTCAGCATGCTCCGTCAGTTTATAACTGGGAGGTGGAGGCATAAATGCCAACTTAGCTGCAATTTTAGATGGTAATGGAGGACAACACAATAGCTGACAAATACTGTTGCAGCTTAAATCATTCATCGGTCTTCAATAATGTTGAAGAAAAAGCTTTCACTGGGAAACAAGGATGCACTAAAGAAGTCCTATGTCCAGTAATTTTTAAACATCATTGTCAGAGAAAGTTCATAGTTAAATAGAATGCTGTCTGGCACCCCATCCAACTTTCTCGACTCACTCAAACATGGCACATAATTGCCGCCTAAAAAAGTTCAGTCTTCATTGGAACACTGTAATAGCCAAGTTGACCTTCATTTTGTTTAATACGTGCTACCTCCAATATATCCCCAATATATTCAGTGTGAGATTGTATAAACCGAATAATTATTTGCGCTCGCTACTTGTTGTTACGGTATGGTTTCAGATGTTTGGTATTGTCGAATGAATGGTAGTGCAGTCACTCGACTACACTAATTCTAGTCGGTTTTGTAGTCACTTGTGGATTTGTGTATCTTGTATTTTTAGTGAGTGTGTTTGTCTCGGGACAGTAGAGATCCCGAATACCAACAACTATCAAGTTTCCAGGCAGTAGTTTGGTTGGTTGCAATGTGACAATAATGAAGTGACAAGTCAAGTGCTAAGGGAAGACCACAGTTTCAAGATTAGGTTAATAGATATACTGGTTGGCAATGCAGACAGTTGGAGAAGAAGTAATCAAAAGAATAAGAAGGGAAAGTGATATGATAATTAGGGAAATTGGAGGTTGTTCCTGATGTAGCAGTAAATAAATCCCCAAAAAAATAGCTCTGTAAGTCTTCGACATTGGATGCTGACCACATTAGTTTCAATGGACTCACCTAGATGAAGGCGATCGGTCATGCATCCACACCAGATCACGAGTGGGAACGCCGTGCCCAACAACTCCTGCAATCACTAGCCAGATTAGATGAGACAATCCTCGATATATTGATAGCCTATTAAATATATCTTCGAACTTCCTCGCTTCTGTCTTTTGATTTCACTTGGTGAGCACGATTCACATTAGTTGTTACTAGTTTAAGCAGTGTCAAACTTCAAATACCTGTGGCGTCTTAACTTTCACGCTAATAGACAAATCCACGTCTCAGCAATGAATCACACTTAGGTGAGTCCATTAAAACTGATGTGGTCAGCATCCATTGCCGAAGACTTACAGAGCTAGTTATTTTGGGGATTTATTTACTGCTACAAATCACCCCCCTCTAGTAGGGATAGTGATGACCCTAAGACGTGGCCAGCCAGAAGTTTAAACCCAACGAGTTTGTCGTTGGTAGACACTCTTCTAATAGCTCACTAGGTTTAGTAGCGTCTGGTCGCTGGGAGACAGTCACGGAGCGGTTGGCGGCGGAGTTTGACAGCCCAGTGGACAGAGAGGACGCGCCGCAGAAGTTCCGGTTGGCGAGGTTGCTGGTCGATGGTGACCCACTGGTGCTGGCTGTGGAGCTTACCAGATTGTTACGCCGTGCGCTGCCGAGTCTAGATGAGGAGTCGGAGGCACAGTTGTTGGCTTCACAGTTTATCGAGATTGCGCCTGCCACTGTCTCCCAACAGCTGAAACTGGTGAACGCAGCGCAACCGATGGATATCAGTGAACTGGCGAAGGTGACTCGTCAGCTGATGACGCGAACAGTAGCTCCGGTCGGGTGCGAAAAGCAGGAGATGAGTAGTGTCGAGAAGAAGATTGAGGAGCTGGAGCGTGAGATTGCAGCAATACGGGTGAACAATAAAAGGAACGATAAATGTTACGCTTGTGGAGGGACAGGACATTGGAAGATAAACTGTCCAACAAGACGAAGACGCAGATATGTTAGACGTTACAACGAGTGTTCTTTCTATCCTAGGTATTTGAGGATTGTTGCGTTAGTAGACAGAGGGGCAGTATATACGAGAGTGAACATAAATGAGCGAGATTTAGTTTGTCTGATCGATACAGGTGCAGCAGTATCGTTAATAGGCAAAGAGCAATGTAAGAGAATCAAGCCGTGTACATTAGCTGTCCACACGATAGGGGGCCATATGTTAGAGGTGTTTGGCATATCTAACAGTATCGTAAAAGTGGGGGAGGCGGAGATAAATTTTCCGTTCGTCGTAACCACAAGCTTATCGAGACCGATATTAGGAGCAGATTTCTTAAGAGAAGTAAAAGCAATAGTTGACTTAAGAAGCGGTAAGGTGGTCACGAAATATGGTTCATTGACAATACACGAAAGTAGCGAAGTAGCTGAAATAAGAGTTGCAGCGGATGTCTCGTCAAAGAAACCAAACATTCACGAGTTATGCAAAAAGTATGCGAAACTATTCACTGGAGATGGGGAGCCGTATGGATTTTGTGACAGAGTAAAGCACGAAATACCGATAAAGAACAGTCGAGTAAATATATTTGCAACACGTCGTGTCCCGGTGCATTTAGAGGCCGAGGTAAATCGTCAGGTCCAGGAAATGTTGAAAGAAGGTATAATTGAGGAAGCGGACAGCCCATATAGCTCGCCAGTACTCTTGGTAAAGAAACCAAAAGGAAAGTATAGATTTTGTGTCGACTTCGGAGAATTGAATAATATAATAGACCTGAAGCCTTGTGCAATGCCAACAGTGGTGGAAACATTAGATCGGCTACAGAATGCCAAGGTGTTTACAGTGCTGGATTTACGGTCAGGTTATTGGCAACTGCCTATAAAACAGAGTGATCGAAGCAAGACAGCGTTTACTGTGCGTGATAAACAGTATCAATTTAAATGAATGCCGTTCGGGTTGGCGGGTGCACCGTTCACGTTCAGAAGATTAATGACACTACTACTCAAGAATCTAGATAATGTCGAGGTATATGGCGACGATGTAGTTGTGTACAGTCAAACAGAAACAGATCACATCAAGCATGTGGAAGCGGTCTTAAAGCGAATTGACGAATTTGGACTTCGGATTAATAAGGACAAGTCGCAGATAGCGAGAAGTAGCGTCACATTGTTGGGACATAAAGTGGGAAATGGAGAAATAAAACCATTGCCGGAGAAAATTCTTACCATAAAAAATATTGCAGTACCTAATTCGAAAAGGAAGTTGAGACAGTTCCTGGGAAGAGCGGCGTTCTACAGTCGGTTTGTCAAGAATTTCAACGAAATACCAGCACCCTTATATGAGTTATTGAGCAGCACCAAGTTTACGTGGACTGAGACTGCCGAACAAACGTTAAACCGAATCAAAAACATGCTAGACGATCGCCAGATGACGCTCAGACTGCCTAAACCGGGAAGACTGTTTACAGTGGCCACAGACGTGAGTGATCATGGTATAGGTGCTGTGTTGAGTCAGGCTGATAGAGTGGTGGAATACGCTAGTCGCGTCCTCACACCTGCTGAACAGAAGTATTCAACCATCGAAAAGGAGTGTTTAGCGATCGTGTGGGCAATGGAAAAATGGAGACCATACCTTTTAGGTAGACGATTTCACATTGAGATCGACCATAGACCCCTGCAGTGATTGAAAACAGCAAGAGACCCCCGAGGGAAGTTGGAGCGATGGATGATACGCCTGCAAGAATACGATTTCAGTATCGGCCATGTTCCAGGAAAAAAAACGTAATGGCGGATTACTTGTCAAGACCAGACATGGAAGCCGACCTGCCATTAACAGCATACGCGGTGAATAGTTTAGAGGGAGACCCATTAGAACTCGTCCGGCAGCAGAAAGCTGACCCTAACCTTCGAGAGTTAATCAGAGTGATAAAAGAGGGAGCAGACGTAGATAAACGAACAATGGACAAGGAGGTAATAACGCTGCTTCGGCAAAAGGACGGACTTAGAGTGAACTCATATGGAGTGCTGACCTGGCAGGACGATGATGAGAATTGGGTGGCGGTGATCCCGAAAGACTGGTGGCGTAAAGTGATACACGAGTGTCACCAGGTAGCACATACAGGCATCGCAAGAACGACGGACTTACTACGACAAAGTGCATACTGGCCGAGCATGAGAGACGATGTGGCTGAATACGTGTTAACCTGCCAGCAGTGTCAGCTAATGAAAAGCGATCGATATACACAACCGCCATTACAGTCAATCCCAGTAACCGCAGTCGGTGATCTATGGTCGGTGGATGTGATGGAACCGTTTCCACAGACGGCGAGCGGTAACCAGTACCTGATAGTGATGACGGAACATGCTACACGTTGGGTAGATGCCGTACCCATTGCAGACCAGCGGGCAAGGACAGTGACCGAGATGGTAATCCGGCATATTGTAGCGTGTCACGGAATACCGAAGATGATATTAACTGACCAGGGTCCTTGTTTTGAAAGTGACGAGTTTAAAGCCCGTTTAAAGTAGTTTGGCATCAAGAGAATACGAACTACACCGTATCATCCTCAGACAAACGGGCTTACAGAGAGAAACAGTCGGACGTTAAAGGAATGGTTAGCATCAAAAGGAGGAAATTGGAAGAAAGAGTTACCATTGATTTTGCTGGCACATCGTTCCTCCACACAAGGAACAATCAAGAAGTCATCTTTCTTGCTCATTTATAGCAGACAACCACGACTTCCAATGCATAATAAGACCTGGCCACAACAACAGAAGTGGACGACAACAAGGTTAAGAAAAGAGAGGAGATAGGCAATAAGGAACGTGGAAAAGAAACAAATATCAGACACAAAGAAGGCAGAACAACAGAGGAGAACGTGGAAACCCTTTGCAGTGGGGGACCTAGTAAAGTGTAGAGAACGAAAAAGTAACATAGCAGGGGGAGCAGGGTCGGGGAAGCTGGCCCCAAAATGGGAAGGACCGTATGTTATCACGGAGAGACGCGGCTCGGTCTACACGATCCGGAGAGAAGACAAGCAGAAGCGCGTAAATGCTAGTCAACTACAGAGATGGTTTCAAGATCATCATGGGTGTGAATCACGAAAAGCACCAAAGAACACAGCGGCACGGAGATCAGAAAGACTACGACAGCAACTTGTTAAAAGGGGGGACGAGTGTGGTGCGTGCTACTTATATTGATGTGAGTAGTATATAACGTGAGTCAAAAGAACGTAATGTCTGGTAGCAGAAGATGGAGAAGATCAAGAAAAGAAGAGCGAGAAAACAATGGAACTTGTAAGAAATCGCATGAACAATGAAATGAGAGACAATGGATTGATGTTTGCAAAAGCAACAGTCCGGTTTGATATGATAGAATGATATTTTGCAAATTAACGATTTACTATATGGTTTTCCTATTTTACCAAGTAATTCTGTAATTTGTCCTAAATACAATTTGGCTGTCCTCACCCGTGTTCTTCTTC